GGTGGTGCCTATGGGCGCTGGCCGAAATCCCGATGGGCTGCGAACGAATCGGTAATGCCGTGGTGGGCGTATCGGGGGAGCGTGGCGGACTTCAGCCGGGCGAGGGGCCAGGGCCCCACGCCCACGTGTGCCCCGCCCTCGCCTGCGCGAGCAGCGCCGGCGTCGAGGGCTTCGGCCCGCGCACGCGCGTGCCTCTGCGTGCGCGCGCGCGGCGCACCCGCCTGCGAAGCGCGCCCGCCGCGTGCCGCGCGCCCGCGGCAGGCCACCTTGCGAGGCGGGGGGGCCTCCGCGCGAGCCGCACCGCCTCCGCGCGGGGCCGCGGCCCCACGCCTAGACCTGCTTCAGGCCCCGCGGGGCGAGGAGGGCGAGCGCCCAGATCTCGAGCCTCGAGCCTCGAGCAACTGCAGCGCTGCGGGCTGCAGAAGGCGAGTGCTCTCTTGTCGACCCTCGCACCGCGATCCTCCTCGCTGGGGCCCCCTGGCGGCGCCACTGGCGCCGCCCCTGGCGCGCTCCGCGCGCCAGGGAGGAGGGGTCCAGCGCCGATCCGAGAAATCCGCGCGGACCTCCGAGTTTTTATGCTTATGTCATTGCTTGTTTCCCTAACCTTGCCCGGGCGAGGAGGATCGCGGTGCGAGGGTCGAAATGAGAGCACTCGCCTTCTGCAGCTTACAGCGCTGAAGTTGCTCGAGGCTCGAGGATCGAGGTCTGGGCCCTCGCCCTCCTCGCCCCGCAGGGGCCTGAAGCAGGTCGAGGCACAAGGGTCAAGACCTGGGCGCTCGCCCTCCTCATCCCGCAGTGCTGGACGAAAGTGCGGGCGCTCAGAGGCACAGGCGGAGGAGACCATGGGCAAGCGTCTGCGTGGAAACTGCTCAAACTACGTATTTACTCCGGCCACGACCAGTGTCCGGCGCACGGCCCACCGACACAGAGCGCAGAGGGATGAGCGCAGACAGGGATCCAGGTGTTCAGGCGTTTCCGGCCCTGCTGGAGCCTCCCGGGACGTCGCCGTCGCCACAGTTGGGTCTATTCCAGCCAGGGCGCACCCCAAGACAAGTCTTGGGGCCAATGCTTGGGAGGAGGGGGAGGAGGAGGAGGAGGAGGAGGAGGAGGAGGAGGAGGAGGACCAGTGCAGACCCAAGACTCATCAACAATATTGCAATGCACCTTCCCTTCAAGATCCTTGTTCATAGGCCCCTACAAGGATTCATTTTCATTGGGAAAAGTGCACCTTTGGAAGACAACCGTTCGAAAATCCAGAACTGTGCCAAAGAACCGTTCTTGGGACTTCAACACCGCGAATCACCGTAACTGGCCCCGATATTCCGACATCGTTCCAAAACACCATTTCTGGGACCCTAATCCTGAGCACCTTTTAAGATCCTGCAAGCGTTTAAAACGAAAGCGCGTCGCGATAAGGTGAAAGCCAGAGCTTGAAAAGGAGCCGCCCTCCCTCCGTGAAACTCGCGCACATGTTTAGACGAATGTGCGCGGCGCTGAGGCGGGAGCCACCTTTTGAAAGCGGACCGCCCTACATCCGTGAAATTGCCCCGAGTTTCACGGTTCAGGATCATGAATGGCGCGGAAGTCTCAGGCGAAACGCCCAGCCCGCCCTTTCGGTGCGACATGGAGGAGTTACTCACAGGAAAGAGGGTCGACAAAACGTCAGAGTGACCTTTCGCCAGAGTGACCTTTGATGCGGGCCCAATTGGGACCCCCGATCGCCGAACGGGAAGCGGTAATTAGCAGCGGCTTGTGCGCAGGTTTGGCCACCCCGCGTCCCCCGTTGAGCCGCTCACCAAGTGCCACTCTTACCCAGGCTCACTCTTGCGTGTAGCCGACAGGGATGGAAGGGGAAGGAGGAGG